ATTTTAAATGCTTATTTAAAACTTTTGAAATTTAAGACTCATTAACTCATACCGTAAATAATTTCTTTACCTTTCAGAACCTTCTCAATAATTTTGAATCCTGGGATCCTATGACTGTAGCAGCAAGAGCATTTTTATTCTTCCAATTGGTGACTGTCTTCCCTCTTGTAGCATTTATGCTCAGAAGTCAGATATGCACGATGTTTTTGGGTCGCAGCTGGCCTGGCCGTCTTCCAGTATTGATGATTAATGCTATTTTTATTGTTGTGTGCATTCTCTTTGCTATTTACTTACCACGATTTGGAACTATCATCAGGTATGAATCAGTAAAGATGTAAATTTCAATATTGGTTTGCGAGATTTAACCATTGTTAAAATATTTTGTTTTATCTCCAACAGGTTCACTGGAGCCATTAGTGGTTTGGTGTACATATTTCTATTGCCAGTTCTACTACACCTTGCTTCTCTTCAACGTCAAGGAAAGCTTACCAAGTTGACAACTTCCCTTCATATGATTATTCCAGTAATCGGAATGGCCAACTTAATAGCACAATTTTTTGTGTCTGACGACTAGGATTAATTGACAAGCTTCAAAAGATCGGTCTTTTGCTGCTTATGACTGTGATTTCTTTTAAATAGTAGCAGATTGACAATGCTTTACTCCTGTGTATTATATGAATAATTTTTAATTGCTGATGTTGAGAGGTTTCATTCATTCAAGTCATGAGCTGTACATGTTTTGCTTCAATTGACAATTTTAAATGTAACCAGTTTGACTTGACACCACCAGCATTATGGCAATTAAGGTTATTTTGGAGTACTTTGAGATTAACTCTAAGGAATTAATACTAAACACATTTTAACTGTGATACTATGGTACTAGTAGGGTTGCTAATTGCAATGAGATACCTTCATACATTTCAAATTGTTTTCAAGACCACATTCACTGCCAAAAATGTATTCTGAACAATTCCATGTTATTTTGAAGCACCAAGATAAATAAGAAAATTAGAAGTATTGTCACATGACTGAATCTCTTAGCATTAATGTCCTTTGACAATGTATTTGTCTGATTCTGGGAAGAATTTAATTTATTGTACGGCCACAAAGTTCCAATTGTGTTCTACATTTTGACACCTAGATTTCTGCTATTCTTTGTATTCCAGACAGATGAATATCAATCATGCTTTTAAACATATGACTGTGTTAATTTTAAAAATATGTGCTTAGTTTTGTAAGGAGTATAAATATAAATTAAGACTTAATACAAAATATAGCAGTTCTGAGAAGACTTTATTTTCTGGATGCACTTAAAACCATAGAAAATGATCTTACACAACACAGATAAAAATTATCAGAATGCTTTTCATTCATCCAAGGAACACCCATCCTAAATAACTTACAAAACAAATCAAAAATGATAGAAAAACCTTCATTATTATGCAAATATTTCATCAGAGAGACCATTTTACAATAAAAATCCAATTAGGTGAAATAAAAATGACTAGATATTAAAGGTAATTAAAGCGACCAATCAACAGAAATCTGAATGACTGTTAGAAAATCCATTGCTGTTTTACTTCAAACTCGATAAGACCATTACCACTGTATGAACAAGGCTAAAAACAGAATAGCATGGCAAGATGAATGAAAAACAGAGTTACGTCTATTATCACATGCACAATAACTTATAAGTTATGCTTTAACAACAAACAGGTAGTAGTTTCTGTAATACACTTGGGGAATTGTTTCATCATCATGCAATTCCCAATCTTGAAGTGGTTTACTAGCAGAGAAAATATTTTTCTGGCAATCCATGAGCACATTTGCATTTTTAACAAGAGATTGAACCCTGTTAAGATCACTTTTAGACTCTTTATGAGTATAGGAAGTAACAAGGATTGGACAATTCCGTTTTATCATCTCAGGGATGGAATTCTTCCAAGTGTCCTTAATTTTGCATTGTATATTTTCTGTAAATCCAGCATTAAATGCTACTATTAAATCAGGTCTGCTGTGGATGTTGATAAAATCATGATAAAATTCAGTTGAGCACACTATTTTTAAATCCACTTTTCTAGAGACGCACAACTCGCATAGGTTCATACAGCCTAACTGGCCTTCAACATCAGGTCCCACAAATGTTAAACTTAAAGTATTCACTACAGGTAACCAGTGCAGCAGTTGTTCCCACTTCTCAAAATACTGCATCTCAAATCCTCCTGCTCCAACAATTTCAATTGACAAAGATGATTTAGAAGCTAAATCCAATGAATACAACAATTGTACTATGGTCATAGGAGCGGACATTATATCTGTCAGGACACGCCCCTCAATAGTTCCCAAGTTTTGTAATAATGATTCAGAATAGTTCTTGATATCTTCAAGACATGAAGGACTTCCAGGAAAATCACAAGACACAGGATCTGAAAAAGGAATGTCTCCAAACCCAACAGCCTCTAAAAGAGACTTGTCAATTTCAAAACACACTCGGAGCTCAGAGCAATCTTTAGAATGCCTTTCTTTGTCCTTTTCCTTGTGGTCTTTTGAACAATATGATACACAAAGACATTTGGCACACACTTGAAGCTGTTTAACATCATTAGAAAAGCATATGTTGCACATTCTTGGATACAGTATCATTCGAGACTCTGCTGTTGAGAGAGCTCGTCGTATCTTTTTCTGAACATTGAAATACAGATAATATCGATACGTATTAAAACCGAAAGCATTCTCTGTGAACATATCATTTCTTTCTTCGAGATCATCATTAATACGGTAACCCCTAATCTTGTTTGCTCCTAATTTTTTGGAGGTGGCTCGTACAATTAAGCAGATTTCTTTATGGAATTTCCAGTGCTCCTTCTGATGATCAGCTCCGCAGTAGAAAATGAGATGGCAACCGCCACAGGCTTTGAGTGTGGACAGACCATCTTCCGATAGACAAGGATCGTCACAGACAGCGCAGACCGTGGCATAGAAGAAGGACAGGTGCTTCAATCCCTGTTTATCAGCATCCGCTTGAGAACAGCCAGCGACTTCTGCCATCGTACAGCTAGCCACCAACAATCACACAGTTGAAAGGGTTAAGGGGAACACACACGATGCCGCAATCAAAGGGTGCTTGCACATATTCCATGCATATCTAGAATGTCCTTCAGCCAAAATTGAATGCCACTTCACGACTGGTCCCAGAACTTCAAGCGAAAATCTGCACTTCGGTCGGCCAGGACGAAATTTGTGCTAAAACCGGCGACAACAACAAATTTCCGGCCGGGTGGAGAGCCAGCAGAAACCACTCCGGCGCTTATTGGCAGCCAAGCCTTTCATGAAAAAATATCTCACAAATGGGTAGATTTTTCCCTGATTAAAGTATTAGCAGTCTTCAATAACCATCCAAAAAGTTGGAAACCAACTATTTTTCGCAAATTAGATGACTTATGAATCGAAACGAACGTTTTCAATGCTTAATTAAATGCGCGTTTTAAGAGTGAAAGAAGGGAATTCAGTGTTCGGCCCCGCTCCTGGCTGCTTTGGCACCGGTGCTGCGATCTCGCGGAATCTCTTCAAGGCTTGGCATAACACATGTCGGTGCGCTGTCCGTGACGTCTTTGACTTCTGGACAATTTGGAAGAATTTGTCAAGTTCCTTCGGGTGCTCCATGTGTATTTAACAACGGCCTATAAAACAAACTTCAAATATGGCAAGTAGTTCAACGTCTAATTATATTTTTCTTCTAAATTGACTAGTTGGATTGTGTCGGCTTATTGTAGCTTTTAGGTTATATTTTGTTATTAGTTAGTGATTGTTGAAATTTAATCTTAAATTTGTAGGATACTTGAATGCTTGATTTGCGTATTTTCGCATATTATTCAATGATAGTTATTGTACTGGTCTTCTGTTCACAGAATAGTTTACGCAATTCGGCTTTGGAGGTTATGGGTCTTCTTTGATCAATCTGTTCTCTTTGCTTTAGTCATTTTACTTATCATACGTACCTCATATTAACAATAATTACTTATCAAACAGTCTAGTGTCACTTTTTGTTTTTAGTTTCATTGCCTCCAATCTTGTATGTTGTTCTCAATTGTGTACTTCAAACGGTAGAAACTCTGTAACACATTGTGTAATGTCTTATTTCTGCTTTGCAGAAACCTTTAATGCTTCAAGGCCACGAGAGGGCCATCACTCAAATCAAGTACAACCGAGATGGAGACCTTCTATTTTCATCAGCCAAGGATAATGCTCCCAATGTTTGGTTTTCTCTCAATGGCGAGCGGTTGGGCTCCTATCTAGGACATCAGGGAGTCGTCTGGTGCTTAGATGTTAACTGGGAAACAACCAGATTTCTGACCGGAGCTGGTGACAACTCAATGCGTCTGTGGGATGTGAGCAATGGTAATATTTGTCTGCCTTTATTTGTAGTGTCCATTTTTTTGTCACTGTGGCATAGTTTAATGTTTGTTCTTTCATTCAGGTAAGGAAATTGGCAAGGTAACAACTGGTTCATCTGTGAGAACATGTGCATTCAGTTACTCAGCAAACACTGCTGTAATGTCCACTGACAAACAAATGAAATTTAATTGTGAAATTTACATCATTGATGTAAGAAATGCTGATGCTTCACTTGGTATGTTCACCTTCAATTTGTCTCAACCTTATAATCTTCTTTGCCATACGTTTTATTTTTGTCAATGAAATTGTTGTAATTTGTTTTCAGAGCACCAAGATCCCATTATGAGGATACCTGTTGATGGACCAAAAGTTACCTCAATCTTGTGGGGACCTTTGGATGAAACTGTAATCTCGGGCCATGAAAATGGAAAAATCACTATGTGGGATCTGAAGGTGAGGATCCATGGCCTGATTATCGTGTTATCTGTAATGTCTTTATTCTTAGTTCAGATTATATATGTGTCAATTATTTTTCAGATGGGAAAGGAAGTTCATTCTGTGATGGATCACTCTGGCTCCATCAATGACCTGCAGTTCAGTAAAGATGGCACACAATTCATTTCTGCCTCCAAGGATTGCACAGCCAAGTTATTTGACACAGATACCCTTGAATTACTTAAGACGTACAAAACTGAGCGACCTGTCAATAGTGCTGCACTTTCCCCTATTATGGACCATGTAAGTGTTAGCTGGGCTACGATCACACTGTATGAATTATCTTATCAGGTAGCTAATAAATTATTATTATTATTTTGTTTTTTTGCAGGTTGTGTTGGGTGGTGGTCAAGAAGCTATGGAAGTCACAACAACATCAACCCGCGTCGGAAAGTTCGATGCTCGGTTCTTCCATTTAGTATTTGAAGAGGAGTTTGGACGTGTCAAGGGTCACTTTGGACCCATTAATTCGTTAGCATTTCACCCTGATGGAAAGAGTTACGCCAGTGGAGGAGAGGATGGTTTCACCAGAGTTCATACCTTTGATCCTTCATATTATGAGTACCAATTTGATTTTTAACTCAATTTTCATTTTGCTGATTTGGGGAAGGGGATTTCGCTCCACGTGCCGTCATTAGAAGTATTTGTTCAATAAACTTGTCACCGTCAAACTACTTTTTACAAATGTATTCTCTGAACTTATTCAGAAGCAATCAATTGCTTCATACAATATACAGATCATGAAATATGTGCTAGGCTGTAAAGCAGTTGTCTGAAAGAAAAGCAACAACAAAGGTGCAACGTGCTACACCCTAGTGTTCAAATTACATTGATTTACTGTTTTTCCGATACTGTTAGGTAGGATTTATATATATAGATAAAAAAAATAAAATGAATAAAACTAGTTAAGCTTTCTCATTCAATATAGGAGACAACTATTTGCTCACCCCAAATACGGCAAGCCTAACTTTCGAGATTCATCTCACAGGCTCTTGCATCTTTCCGGTTCAAGCTGTGTCATTCCAACGTTTCCGATGTGATGGCATTCTGGCTGCTGCTCCGAGATGTGGGAATGCACTTTTGCCACGAGCCGCACCAGGGAAAGTAGCGGCGCGAGAACACTGGCTCCTTGGGTGGCAGAGGGGATGCTACCGACCCACTAGTGACACTCCAGCGCATACGGAACCATGACGCATTCTTATTGTTAAAAAAAAAAGATCAAAAAAACATTATCCAAAACTAAAACAAGACCAATTAAAATAAAAATAAAATCAACAAAATAACAGGGAGATTGCGTGATGAGATCCTCTTTTCAGTTCCAGCCCCCGCAGCCACCCCCAGCGGTCAGTAGAAGAAATATTGCCGGTGGCGGTGCCTGGGCTGCGTGGAGGTGTTCCCGTCGCGGCCGCTCACCTTGTCGCTGACCGAGTAGGAGGCGCTCGTGGTGCGCAGCTCGGGCTTGGGGAGCAGGCGCTTGCGCAGGGCGCGGCCGGCCTCGGGGTGCGTCAGCACCCTGGACACGAAGATGGCCACGCCCTGGAAGCTGTTGAGCGCCGACGAGGCGAGCTGCATGGTGACGCCGGCGGGCGCCAGCGGCGACAGGATCCACGTGACGCCGAGCAGGAAGGCGGTCCCGATGACGCTCCGGATCTGAGGGGGAAGGCCCGACCCAGGTTAGGCCCACGCCGTGCTCACGACCAGGTGAAACCGCTTTTACCTGACTTTCGAGTACGGTTTTTCAAGGCAGGTTTACCTGACTGTGACAATTTTCAGGTGTCGCTATCCGTACCTGTAGCTTACCTTAAAACCTGGTCCGGAGGGAGCCTCGGGCTCCTGATGTTTTCAGGTAAGCGACCTGAATCCAGCCAAAACGGATAAAGATACGAGAAAATTGCCACATTCAGGTAACTTACCCGAATCTGAAGAAAAGCCTCCTGAAAGTCAGGTAAGCGGTCTCACCGTGCATGTCGCGGTCGCCTCGAGTGCGAGATGGATAGAGAGCCACTCTCTCGCCGTCTCTCTTGCACTATGACGGACACCCCCTACCCCGCCGCGCGCACGCTCACCGCTCACGGTGACGCTGCTCACCTGCGCCCAGGTGACGCGCGGCGGCTCCTGCTGGCCGGTCGCGAGCCCCAGCCCCGCCGGCCGCCGGAGCCGCAGCAGCACCACCGCCAGCCGGATGAAGATGAAGCAGTTGGTGAGGAGAATGACGAAGCACGGCAGCAGGGTGACCAGTGCGTGCTGCGCCGCGTTGATGCCGGACACGACGCAGTAGTCCGAGTGCGTGTCCATGTAGTAGGTGGGGTCGACCGCGCCGCACACCGTCACTATCAACACGGGGGTGCCTGGGCGGGAAAAAATGTTAGCTACAGCCAAACAGTAGCCAAATAGGGGAAAACTAATTTATGTAGCTATGTAGCTAACAATTTTGCTATTTTTAGATATGAAGCCAAATTTTTAGTAACACCTCAAAATTTTTAGCTAGATAGCTAATTTATGTAAAATTGAGCTATGTATAGCTAACATGGCTTAACTTTTAGCTAAACAGCATCATTTCTCTTCCGCGTGGGTGGGAGCCGTCAGTGCAAAGATAAGCATTTCTTACTTTGCTTGACTTTTTCGTGCAACTTATTGGGGTAGATCCGGGTGCGCGCCTATGCGGTCGCTTAACTCTTCAACATTTCCCGGTTTATCGCCGTCGATTGCAACGCCGAACGATTCCACGCGAACCCAGGCGAGATTCGGCGATTAGATACCGTAATCTACCCCAGTCAACGAAATTCGATGGGAAAACATGATTGTCCAATTGCAGCGCCAATAGTTTAGTCGTCAAGTACGGCAGTTTCCCTCAAAATTTTACTTAATTTTTTTAAAGGAAAATGTTGTTATACGATCCGGAACACTACCCTGACATTTGCACACATTTCGATGAGTTTAACATTTTAGTCAAACACTTGCAAGTACTCAAATCCGCAGCTAAACACCTGTCAGTTTTCGACGACATGTGCAACCGTGTGCCAGTTGTTGTTGCGCACGTCAAATGTCAGTATAGACACTTGGCGCTACACTTACCCCAGGCGAAGATGAAGCGCTTCAGGAAGAACTTGGTGTTGCCGGACGCGAAGACGGTGATGAGCATCTGGTAGAGGACTAGGGCCTCGACGAGCATCCAGCAGAAGGACGACAGGAGGAACGTGTGCACCAGGATGGCGACGGCGATGCAGCCGGCGGGCGGAAGCGTGCCCTTGAAGTTGCTCGCGAAGAAGGTGACGTGCAGCAGGATGAGCGACAGGCAGAGCTGCACCAGGACCCGCCCCCAGCGGTGCTCGCCGCACCTGGTCCAGGTCAAAAGGTCATCGAGGTACTACCCCCCATGCGCTGCGCTGCGCCGGCCCGCGCCACGCACCGCCACGCCATATGTCACCACCAGGACGCAAAGTCGAGAGGCGCCACAGCCCGCGCCGGCTGGGCAGCACGGGGGGGAACACAGTGCTATGAAGGCTGTGCTCGAGTGTAAGCAGGGGTTGCCTATCTGCTAGGGGGGCCATCCAAATCCTGTCGGGCCAACATGGCAAGCTTGAAAATTTAAACCAAGTCACAATTTGATTTTTCCTACTAATGAAGAAACAGAACATTACTATAGGTGACCCCAGGAGTATAGACCCATAAAATACTCAGATTGGGGATGGTACTACAAAATACAACAAATAAAGCAAGCTCCAAACTGCAAAATTTTGGTGGGGTAATGTTGTCTCCAACATCCACAACCCCGCGAAAATTCAACCGTGACTCGGCTCGGGTGTGCTGTTCTGTATTTCTTTTGATTATTTTTTTTAAAAAATTCCGTATCAAAATTTTAAAGTAGGACTTTATTTATTAGAACGATTCGCTCTGTTTAGGTCTATTCAATGATATTTTAAGGGGGGGGGGGGGCTCTATTCAGAAGGCACAGACAGGGCGCACGCCACGGTTGGGATAGGTCAGTCCACCTTCACTTTGAACTGAAATAAACA